GTATGCGGTTTGACAACTTTCGAGGGTATTTGGTTTTACGAATGATACCTGTAAATGTATTCAGAACCTGCTGCAATGATCATGATGTGCATTGCAAAACCAGTATAGCCTTGCATGCTTGAAAAAGATCTAACAGGTCGATTGCCTTAATAAATCATTTGCGTACTGCGTGGTGACCTGTCAGATTTCACAAGTGCGCGTGCAAGGCTGTATTAGTTTAACAACGAAATGCAGCTCAGCTCAGGGCACAGGTTATTATAAATTATAAACCTACAAAATTGGTTTGACAGATTTGCATGGTGAAACCTAGATTTTATAATTTTTGATAATGTGTGACTGTAACTTTCAAAAGTTATTGCTAAAAATTTTTTAATGAAGTTTGTTGTATTTTCCTTTTTCAATACACGATAGTTTTTAAATAAATCTAACTCCTTAAGAACTTTAATTAAAGTTTTCATATCAGGTATCAATGATTTGTTTTATTGAAAATTGTAATTCTTCCTAGCTCGTTGATAAATAACTGATAACTGATAACACTAACAAATAATTGACATGATAATACTTGTAGCGCGATGCGTCACTGTGCCGCGCCGCGCACTCAATGAGGCTTCTCCTGGCTAGATCGGCGAAATGCGCTACTGTGCCGCGCCGAGCTGCCATGAATTGACATCGTCAATTAAGATAATACAAATTCATTTGTAGTACCGCACACTTTTTGAATATAAACTTTGCCTCGGTGCATGCTCGGGTGTTGTCCATTGTTAATGGATTAGCCCGGTGCGCGCTACTTCATAGTATGTATTCACATAGCCATGTGCCTACGCGTACTGCGTGACGCGCTTGTTTCACAAGTAGGATAGGCACATACAGATCAGCACACATAAGATGGTACGTGTGCGCGCGCGCAGTGCTGACAATTGCGTCGTATTTAACCCCGGGTGCACGTACATCGTGTGCGATTATTTATACTTATCGAAGGCTATAAATGCCTCTTGTTTATTTTAATTTGGTATTGTTCACTTTTAGACGATAAAATACAGGAATTGCGGTATAATAATACGAATAATTAAGATTGTACAATCAAAATACATCACGAAACAGTATTAGCTACCTCGCTACTTATCAACTTATACTATCACTATGTACTATGCGACAAAGATACACAATGCAATATTTATATACTTATAGAATAAACGAAACACAGTATTCAGTATTTACTAGTACTACCCCGCTACTAGTAGTAGTACTACAACTTAATGCGACAAAGGTCTAAGATATTGTATAAAATATAACTAAATAAACAATACGGTGCCCATGCCTGAGCTTTATAAAACTGGAAACACTTCTCAGATTAATTATTTTGCTTCTCAAAAACAATTACAAACTAACAATTTTCGACGTTAAACAGCTACATTAAACATTAACATTACACTTCACAATCCGAAAGAAAGGGGCTCGTCGCTGCAGGCCTGACTTTGACTTGATCCTGAAAAAGTACATGTCATTTAGGTACCGCGACAATTGTGAATTGACCACCCGACAATTGACCCCCTATGTAATTACACTGGGGTCAATTGTCGCGAAATCTAGGGTTTAGTACGACAATTGGCCCCCCCGAAAATTGACCCACCGACAATTGACCCCCTACCTATGTAATTAAACTAGGGTCAATTGTCGCGAAATCTAGGACTTAGTACGACAATTGACCCCCATGTAATTACACTGGGTCAATTGATCGGGTTAGGGTCAGGGTCAGGGTTAGGGTTAGGGTTAGGGTTAGGGTCCTGGGTCAGGGTCAGGGTCAGGGTCAGGGTCAGGGTCAGGGTCAGGGTCAGGGTCAGGGTCAAGGTCAGGGTCCTGGATCAGGGTCCTGGATCAGGGTCAGGGTCAGGGTCAGGGTCAGGGTCAGGGTTAATTGTATTAAATTATATTGTCGGGGGGTTAATTGTCGGGGGGTAAATTGTCGCCCACCCGTCATTTAATGTAATTACATAATACAATATAATACATAATACAATGTAAATGTTGCTGTTACAAAATGTATAGCTAACATAAGCGAGCGTTCATGTATGACGTCAGCAGCCGAGGGAAAAGGGTATTTGGAAATGCTGACGGTTGCTGACAGGAGGGGGAGGTATGAGCCTTGTTAACGTCAACAAAAATACGTGAATTCAAATCAATTTTATTAGCAATAAAACGTCACTAATTTCCTTAAAATTAGTACTCGAACTGAACTCTGGTGACCAACTGCTTAAATCAGTCACACACTAATTTTCCCTGCCTCATGCCTACTACTGGAAACTGTATCTCCAGACAAGTGTCAGACGTTACTATGCAATGCATGCATGCATAGTATGCATTGGTTGCTCTTCAAAAAGGTTAGCAAAAAGATAAAGAGTGCGACCCTGATAAACTTTTGGGAGAGATTCATCGACGACATATTTGGAGTGTGGATGGGGACAGCGGGACAATTTACAATGTTTGTCGAATTGTTGAACAAACTGGCTAAATCAAACTGGCAGAACCATATAGAATCAAGGTTAACTTTTTAGACCTTACCTTGAGCTTGGACTCCGAAAATCAGATCTGGTACAAGCTATTTAGAAAGGAAACAGATGCTAGGAACTACTTGAGATCAGATACATATGTAGTTTCCAACCCCACCATGTGTAGAGGACCTGGGCGAACTTGCCTTATCGAATCATAACTTATACTCCATGTCAAAAACAGTAACACAAAATGGTTTCTTAAAGGTATGGTCATAAATATTATACTGTAAATTTGAAAAGTAAACATAGTTCTAGATGTAATTTAATATCGTAATTATAGATGCTGAACGGGGCGGAAAATGGAGTCGAAAGTGTCTCTTTGATTTCATGGAAGCCGAGTTAGGATCTTGCCAGATGCAGACACAACAACAACGGTGACAAACTAGAAGAAATCGAGCCGAAAGCGATACAGAGGTCTATTGAGAACCCAGGAAATCCAACCAGAGACACTGAGGATAAGACACAACAGAGCCTCGTATTTTCCGTACAACACTCTTGATAACATTAGTCTTACAAAGTTGGTTAAGAACTTAATCTGGTCATTAAGCTACTAGGTTAATGTTATGTGGGGATGTACGGATAGTATTTGCCACTAGGAAACACCCTTCAATCGGTAATACACTAGAAAAGAATCGACAACTGGGACAACTGGAAACCCTTGATGTAGGACAATTACAGAGGTGTAATGGACCTAGCTGCAAAATTTGCCCCGTCCTCTTTGACAAGGACTCAAAAGATCATGGTCAACAACATAGAACTGGTGCTAGACGGAACTCTAAAATGCAAGGACAAGCATGTTATCTACCTTATTGGTCATAATTATCACGGACATTACTTTTACACTGAAGACCTCAGCGTGAATAATTATGTCCGTGAAAATAATGTCTGTGGTATTAAGGTCCGTGAATAATAAAGTCCGATAATTATTTCCATTAATTTTAGTGTGCGTCCCACATAGGCGTAGATATGTCTGTAGCCGATTACTATATTAGCTAATTAGTATACTAGGACAAATATAATCACTCCTCAGTCACATTCTAGAGTTCAGAAAAAGAGTAAAAAACTGAATATCAAAAACTGGAGTTATTTCAATTTTAAAGAAGTCATTTTGGCTAGTATCCCGAACCGAGATATTATATGTGCAATTTTTTTCATGGAAGCCTTTTTACTTAGTATCCACTACAGGCACGTAGCCAGGATTTTTCTTTGGGGGGCCTTGGCGAGCGGAGCGAGCCGACCCGTTCAATCCAGCTGCACAACAAAATTTGTTGTTTTCTTGATTTTTTATGTATGGTGTAAAACAGTGTAGAGAAGTGTACGATCGAAGAATATTTCCAGATTTAAACATGTAACAATTGTTGTTTAAATGCTACCTGAAGCTGTTCAAATGAAATTGAACTGGGAGAATCGAGAAGATTACAAGTCACAGCTACGTACAACAATCAGGGTCAGGAATGAAAAAGGATACGTAGATAGAGTTCCTTATAATCCCTGACTACGACAGGGAGCTGAAGGCAGATCTGGGAGGGTCTGGGCACAATATTATATTGCTATTATATTATCATCTGCACACTTATACTTTAACTTAGCTTAAACTAATTACAACACTACAAATCCATTACATTTATTGAGGATATGAGTATGACGTAGTTATGTCGATACGTTATTCAACTATTTATTTCTATTAGAATCTGTCTTCACTAAGTCTATTTAGAGACAATCAGAAATTTGAATCATTTATCAAGACATTATACTTATACATCACAAAACCTCCGACTTGATTTACAACTTAACTTCACAAACACTTATCATATAATACAAACTTACTCTGTCGGTTATCATACTCTAATTCAAGGCAACATTAGCGTCCGTGAATTGATCTCTGCAGGAGCCCTCCCTTACTAAAACTTGTGTCTTCATCTGCCGTATTACTTAGGAATATTGCCGGTCTCAGCTTCAAACATAAAGGTATGATATTCAATAGACGCCGCTCTGCAAACGTCACCTGAAAAGGGATAAGTAGATAGAGCTCCTTATAATCCCTGACTACGACAGGGAGCTGAAGGCAGATCTGGGAGGGTCTGGGCACAATATTATACTGCTATATTATCATCTGCACACTTATTCTTAGTTTTAAACTAATTACAACACTACAAATCCATTAAATTTATTGAGGATATGAGTATGACGTAGTTATGTCGATACGTTATTCAACTATTTATTTCTATTAGAATCTGTCTTCACTAAGTCTATTTAGAGACAATCAGAAATTTGAATAATTTATCAAGACATTATACTTATACATCACAAAACCTCCGACTTGATTTACAACTTAACTTCACAAACACTAATCATATAATACAGACTTACTCTGTATCATACTCTAATTCAAGGCAACATTAGCGTCCGTGAATTGATCTCTGCAGGAGCCCTCCCTTACTAAAACTTGTGTCTTCATCTGCCGTATTACTTAGGAATATCGCCGGTCTCAGCTTCAAACATAAAGGTATGATATTCAATAGACGCCGCTCTGCAAACGTCACCTTATCACCTACCTGAAACAGATTTTAAGATAAGCAACTAAATAAAGATTCGTTGAGATTCTGAGTTTCTGCCCTGACGGCTAACCAAATAAAATTTGGTCGGACAGACTCATCTCGCATATTAGGAAAAGCAGCTGAGGTTTAAGATATTCTTTTCAGATTTCTTTTTTAGACTGAACTAAACTTTAAACGATAACCTCTGAATGATCTGAACAACTAACTTTAAGGACATCGATCCTAAGAAATGGCCGTTTTTAAAAGCTTTAAAAAATTTCAAAGGGTCTACACAATGTCAATAACGCGCGGCCGGCTGGCGCTAGATATTGTAAAAGGCTTACGATTTTTTCCTTTATTCATCAGAAAGTCAATGTGGCAGACATAAAGAGCTAAAACTCTGTCAAAGCTTCTAGATCAATCTTTCGATACTGTTTAGGAAAAGTTAGTGGATCACTGGATCCGTCCCTGAAGTGAAACAAATGTTACTATCTTGCAAATGTTAACCATTTTATTTCGATTAGAATCGAATTTAACATACTTAAACTTGATATGATGTAATAATGAGGTACGTGTAAAAATCAAGGGTATCCCTCGAGCCAGTTCAGCTTGTGTAATATAACAAAATAAATAGGGAAAAATAAGGGAGAGTACCTGGTGCCATGCTGTGTCAACAGAAGCGCTGAGGATAAATTCAGTGAGCATTAGTTGGAAAGGATTGTCATCAGTTACTGTGTGAGTTAGTGTTGTGGTGGACGAAAGGATAAGCCGCTGATCAGGGATATAGGCCCCTCCTCACGAACTCTCTGCTGTGTTGGCGCAACGAGTGAGACTTTGGGGTGGTCAAAAGATGTGATGGTCCCGTCAAGTCTTGGCGAAACTCAACATAGGTCACATAGGTAGAAAACAATGCCATTGGAAAACTCTATCCAATGCAATAGTCACATTATAGTCATTTCTAGAAAAAAAATAAACCTGGTTAATGTTGTTTAATGTGAGAGAATAAGATAAAAGAGTCGACCAATTTTTGTCAGTGTAAATATTGTCAAACAGCGGGCTCCAAAATCGTCTAGGGGGAAAGAGCCCTGAATATCAGCTATCTGCCTTAGTACCTTGGCTCTAAAGTCTAACTTATGCAGCGATGACGACATAAAAAGTCGCTGTATCGTGTGTGTATCATGGCAAATCTTGCTTTGTCAGAACTAAAAGAAGGTTTAGGAGCAAAGTAAATATCAGACTTAAGATATGAAAGCACAGAAAGACTGAGTCAAATGTACAATTGTAGCTGCTGTCAGCTATTCTGCATCAAATAAAATATTAAGGGGCCATCTACTTAGGACGTCCAGCAAAAAGGGAGGGGGAGGTGGTTTTGGAATTTCGGACAAATCCGGACAGTGATAGGGAGTGGTTTCTGAAAATCCGGACGTCCGGAAATTTTGGCAGAATTAACGAAAAAGTCGCATTTATTTCAACTCTTTGACACTAATTACTCAGTAAGTTTAGATCCCTGTATTTTGAACGAGAAGTCGTTTCCCAGAGCAGCTCATGAGAGCCGAGACACAACTCGCATATTCTGCTACTGCCTTAAAACTTATTCCATTGGATGGCTACCTACTTAAGTACCTTAATGTAACTGTGCTAAACTTGTTCGACACTAAATGTATTATTGTCTATTCTAAGTGACTACACATTTTATTAACAATGAATTTGAGTTGGTTTTATTTGTACTCTTTAAAGTAGCTGGAAATCAGGACGTCCGGGGGAGGGGGTTTGAAAATTCGGACACACCCGGACAGGGGGAGGGGGTGCTCCCCGGGGGTGGTCTGAAAATCTGCAATTTTGACGGACGTCCCAAGTAGATGGCCCCTAAAGTCTAAACAAAAGTTCTCAAAACGTACACAACGAGAGAGTGTCAACCTACATGTCAATGAAACAGACTGTTTCATTGTTTGAGACAACACGTGTGTTTGCGCGCAATTCTGGAATAATCCGAGAGATGAACTGTAGCGAGTGTAACTTTAGTGTGCAGATGAGTGTGTACTTCGATGTATACTATTTCTGCACGTACAGGATCCTTTGTAAGGGGTCATTCACATATTTAGTTATCACTCGCTAAGGAAAAAGGGGTGGGGGAATAGGACATGGTTTATAATACACGCTTAACATGTTACTGTTTGCTAACCAATACAGCAATACTGGGGTAGGTTCACTGATAGTGTTTCTCAGAGATATAGATGGCTGTAAATTATGCTAATAAATATATAAAAATAAATATGGTCAAATGTTAAACAATGAGATGATTTAAGAGAAGCAAATATTAGTGGACTGAAATTATAATCTGATAAAGTGCAGCTGTGAACTCAAATGTATAAAACAAACTCACAATTCGGATCGAACAGTTTAAAATGAAACACAATAAGACAGAGTAATTGGTAAAATGTTAAACAATAAGCTTTACTTATAGTGTTTCTCAGAGATGGCTGTAAATTATGCTAATAAATGTCCAGTTTTTGGACTGGAAACATGATTGTAGGGAATAAATCAATTATACTGTTTGCTAACCAATATTGGGATATGTTCACTTATAGTGTTCCTCAGAGATGGCTGTAAATTATGCTAATAAATATCCACTATTTGGACTAGAAATAATTTAGGGAGTTAATCAATAAAATACTGTTTGCTAATCAATATTGGGGTAGGTTCGCTTATATAAGTGTTTCTCAACAAAACACTTGTCCAAAATACAATTAAAATTAGAGAAAATTTACACCTTGACAACATTTAACAAATGTACTATTGCAAATGACAAAAGTGTAATAAGGTAACTGGTAACAAGTCTGCTGGTTATTGAGAATTTAACATTAAAATATGTCCCGGCCCTTTGAATCATCCGCCGAATGATCAACTGAATGATTGAAACAAACAAAGGAACAAGCAAAATTTGTTAAATGGAGTGCATGATCAAAGAAGGTATATTAGCTCCCTACAAAAATCTAATCCAATGAGAAAATAAATCTTAAGTCCAATTGCAAATGACAAAAGTGTAGCAAGGTAACTGGTAACAAGTCTGCTGGTTATTGAGAATTTAACGTTAAAATTTGTCCCGGCCCTTTGAATCATCCGCCGAATGATCAACCGAATGATTGCAACAGACAAAGAAACAAGCAAAATTTGTTAAATTGAGTGCATGATCAAAGAAGGTATATTAGCTCCCTACAAAAATGTAATCCAATGAGAAAATTAATCTAAAGTCCAATTGCAAACGACAAAAGAGTAGCACTAGCAAGGTAACTGGTAACAAGTCTGCTGGTTATTGAGAATTTAACGTTAAAATTTGTCCCGGCCCTTTGAATCATCCGCCGAATGATCAACCGAATGATTGCAACAGACAAAGAAACAAGCAAAATTTGTTAAATTGAGTGCATGATCAAAGAAGGTATATTAGCTCCCTACAAAAATGTAATCCAATGAGAAAATTAATCTAAAGTCCAATTGCAAACGACAAAAGAGTAGCACTAGCAAGGTAACTGGTAACAAGTCTGCTGGTTATTGAGAATTTAACATTAAAATATGTCCCGGCCCTTTGGAGCATCCGCCGAATGATCAACCGAATGATTGCAACAAACAAAGGAACAAGCAAAATTTGTTAAATGGAGTGCATGATCAAAGAAGGTATATTAGCTCTCTACAAAAATCTAATCCAATGAGAAAATTAATCTAAAGTCCAATTGCAAACGACAAAAGTGTAGCACTAGCAAGGTAACTGGTAACAAGTCTGCTGGTTATTGAGAATTTAACATTAAAATATGTCCCGGCCCTTTGGAGCATCCGCCGAATGATCAACCGAATGATTGCAACAAACAAAGGAACAAGCAAAATTTGTTAAATGGAGTGCATGATCAAAGAAGGTATATTAGCTCTCTACAAAAATCTAATCCAATGAGAAAATAAATCTAAAGTCCAATTGCAAACGACAAAAGTGTAGCACTAGCAAGGTAACTGGTAACAAGTCTGCTGGTTATTGAGAATTTAACATTAAAATATGTCCCGGCCCTTTGGAGCATCCGCCGAATGATCAACCGAATGATTGCAACAGACAAAGAAACAAGCAAAATTTGTTAAATGGAGTGCATGATCAAAGAAGGTATATTAGCTCCCTACAAAAATCTAATCCAATGAGAAAATAAATCTAAAGTCCAATTGCAAATGACAAAAGTGTAGCAAGGTAACTGCAGGTAACAAGTCTGCTGGTTATTGAGAATTTAACATTAAAATATGTCCCGGCCCTTTGAATCATCCGCCGAATGATCAACTGAATGATTGAAACAAACAAAGGAACAAGCAAAATTTGTTAAATGGAGTGCATGATCAAAGAAGGTATATTAGCTCCCTACAAAAATCTAATCCAATGAGAAAATAAATCTTAAGTCCAATTGCAAATGACAAAAGTGTAGCACTAGCAAGGTAACTGGTAACAAGTCTGCTGGTTATTGAGAATTTAACATTAAAATATGTCCCGGCCCTTTGGAGCATCCGCCGAATGATCAACCGAATGATTGCAACAGACAAAGAAACAAGCAAAATTTGTTAAATGGAGTGCATGATCAAAGAAGGTATATTAGCTCCCTACCAAAATCTAATCCAATGAGAAAATAAATCTTAAGTCCAATTGCAAATAACAAAAGTGTAGCAAGGTAACTGGTAACAAGTCTGCTGGTTATTGAGAATTTAACATTAAAATATGTCCCGGCCCTTTGAATCATCCGCCGAATGATCAACCGAATGATTGCAACAGACAAAGAAACAAGCAAAATTTGTTAAATGGAGTGAATGATCAAAGAAGGTATATTAGCTCCCTACAAAAATCTAATCCAATGAGAAAATAAATCTAAAGTCCAATTGCAAACGACAAAAGTGTAGTAAGGTAACTGGTAACAAGTCTGCTGGTTATTGAGAATTTAACATTAAAATATGTCCCGGCCCTTTGAATCATCCGCCGAATGATCAACCGAATGATTGCAACAGACAAAGAAACAAGCAAAATTTGTTAAATAGAGTGCATGATCAAAGAAGGTATATTAGCTCCCTACAAAAATCTAATCCAATGAGAAAATTAATCTAAAGTTCAATTGCAAACGACAAACGACAGTAATTTATTGACACTCACAGCTATAATTTTAATCATTGAATCAGTATTTTTATCTGTGCTCTGCGTAATGCATCACATGAATCAGTTTTTTAATCTATTAACTTATTACACATTTGTGCTCTGCTTTAGCATCACTTGACTATTTAATAAAATTGTTTGTTCAGGCCATGACCTTATAGTCAGCCAATTGGCCATTGCTATATTATGTGTATATTGTTTGAATATTCTTTTCCCTTATCTTATATTGCAAACGACAAAAGAGTAGCACTAGCAAGGTAACTGGTAACAAGTCTGCTGGTTATTGAGAATTTAACATTAAAATATGTCCCGGCCCTTTGGAGCATCCGCCGAATGATCAACCGAATGATTGCAACAAACAAAGGAACAAGCAAAATTTCAAATTTGTTAAATGGAGTGCGTGATCAAAGAAAGTATATTAGAGTATTAGCTCTCTACAAAAATCAAATCCAATGAGAAAATATTGTTTTCCGATATTACAATCACAATCCACGGACATGACTAAAAATGACTGACACGTCCCGCGCGGCATCAGAAATATGGGAAGAAATCTGGCACCACGATTTGTGGTGCCAGTTGTGGCCATGGATAGAGCCCTCTTTGCCGCCTCCGGCGGTCGCGCGCTACTGCAAGCGAGAGGGCTCTGGTTAGAGCAATAGTATGTAGTACTTACCTCGATCGGGCAAAAAGAAAGCAGCGCGCGCTATACTTCGAATAAATTTAGACGAGTAACATCCGTCAAGCTCGGGTGCAGCTTGTCATACGTTGTATGACCCGCCGCGCACGAAGTGCGCGGCTCCCCCTGTATCGTCAGGACGATAGTGAAACGACCGATAGTGAAACGACCGTGGGGGTCGCAACGTGGGGGTCGCAACGTGATACAAGGTGCAGCTTGTAGGTTTACAACCTACCAGGACGCGCGCCGAGTTGGACTCGTCGACTGTTCCAATATATGGAACAGATATTTTACGAGTATCACCCGTTAAGGTGCAGCTTGCTTTATATTAACCAAAGCCCTTTCGCTTGCAGTAGTGCGCGACCGCCAAAGGCCCAAAGGCGGCACAGTATTCTACTTGTGAAACAAGCGCGTCACGCAGTACGCGTAGACTCATGGCTATGCTATGTGAAGGTGCAGCGTTGAGCGTGCACGGCAGGGTTACGGGTCACTGCATCAATAAAACAATTAAAAGGTTCGATATTCATAAAAAATATATTTGAAATATTGAAATAACATCGTCGATCAGTTTCGAAGCAATTCCAAATTCAAAATTCGGCGCGCGCGTTATGAATTTACAAATTAACAACGGCAAACGGATGCAATTAACGGTATTACCCATTAAAATAATGTTTGAAAATAAATCGATCGCTGTTATTTCTATGACCTCAAAAAGCTGTTCGATCCACATGCCACCGGATTTTTGAAATTTGTGTTAGCGATTGAGCAGGAACGGTTTTGCTCTAGCTTAAGCTGCTTGCACTTGCTATGGTCTCGTCGAATAAACCTATAGACGACTAAACCTCAAATTTTGGCCAGCAATGTCTCAAAGGGCTTTTACTAAATCGCTCGCCCAAAAATTTCACGTGACTTTGGTTTTTTTGGTTTTGCAGCCGTACAAAACGGTTTTACATAAACCCTAATCCCAACCCTAACCCTAACCATAACCCCGAAGCTATGATCCATAATCTTAACCACAACCCTAACCCTAACCCGAGCCCTAAATAATCGAATTCACGTTTTACTAGCCTGTCACGTGACCAAAACGGTTTTTTGCCCATAACTCTCTAGGAAAGCATTTTAACCCTACGTCATGGGGGGTGATTCGGAATCAGCGTCCAAAAATACACCGATCTAGATCACTTTCATGCCTAAAGGGCCTTTTCACAAGAATTTTCTTAAAATTTGGGCGAGCGATTTAGTAGGAGCGGTCTCAAAGACACGAAGTTTGATTTCGATGCAGGTTTTCCTACTTGTAGATCATAGATGGTCTAATTGGTCTTCTCTAGCAGCTCTATCACAATTATGTTACAACTACAAACTAAAAAAGGTTACGGTCGATACTCGAGAAATATTTGTTCCAGGACCGTCGACGAGTCCAACTCGGCGCGCGTTTTGGTATACCTGGGGACCCCAGGCTATTATGTCCATAAACATAACCGAATAGAGATTCGGTGGGATGACCGGCTAGTAAGTTTTAGTATGTTATTATTATTAACCGACAAGTTCCCCGACCTTAACTGGTCATTAGCATCGGCAGAAATTTGCACAAAGAAGTCAATAATTTACAATCAAAGTGCAGCTGTGGAACTACTAAACACGTAGGATAATAATAAGTGTTATTAAAGTCTTGAAGAAATTTTTTAGTCACTTAAGTGAGATTTACAGCACCTAAACGTTTTACCAGGTGAATAATTTATTAGTATATAATATACAATATTATATATAAATCTATCGAGTAATTTTATGTTCTGTTGCTGCTGCTGACCAGTGCTTTATTTGTACTGGTCTCTAGAAAATCTTGAAGCTATGTCAATAATTTTTTCTTCCACTCCGTCTCACACTATACTAAGCTTCCTCGTCAGAGAGAATAAAAATTGTACGTAGTGGTCCCCTAAATTGTAACGTTTGTAATTTTTATCCAGCCACTTGTGGTCATAACCAATGCCAGTATCTTGTCCTCAGAGAACTTCGAACCAACATTACTAATCTCACATCTGTGACGTAGCTGGTGCAAGCATCGTCCCAGTGACTAGGAATACAAAATAAAAAGCGATACTTCTTGAGTTGAATAAAATAAAAGTCAATGACGAACAATATTCTACATTCTATGTTTTCAACTGTTCATAAATAAATTATTTGCATAAAAAAGTGGTTAAATTATTCAAATTCGTATGCGTTGGCACTTGGCAGCTGTATGGTACACATTATAGTAGTACGCCAAGGAAATCACTGGTTAACTCGGAAACACGTGTTAAAAATCTTCAATTTCGGAAATGATTGCTAGAAATTTGGCAGCTTCTCCACGGCCTCCACGAGGCAACCTCATTTCTATATCAAAAAATCTGCGAGTTGATATCAAAATCATAAAATCAAGCACAAGAAAAACATCCCATCAGTTCTTGCCAAAGTAAAGCTCTCTATACTGGAGACAACTATCATCTCCAGTTATAAACGCCGAGTCCCCCGGGCTCACTTCTCTAGTTTTTATCATGACCAGGAGTCTCCGGGAGCTCTTTCTGCTGAAGATCTGCTCGCAGTTGTATTTGAGGTTGAGGGAAGGGTGTTGGGGGACAGAGGAGGGGGAGTAGAGATCTCTTATAACCGGTAACCAGTACACCAGCCGACCGCCTGTGTAGGTAGATTTATTTTTATAGTTTGAATAGTTGCTCTTATTCTATGTGATGAATTCGAGACTAAGGATGCAATTACTATCGCACGTAGAACCATTATATTTTCTCGAAAAAAAAAACAAATATTTGTGTAACTTTTAAAGCTTCCTTTCCAATTATTTATTAAGGAAAGTTCAACAAATCAATAAAAGGGCCGATAATATATTATAATGTAAAAATGTCTCACCAACTACTAAAGATCGAGCTGCGAAGTTTAACAGCTCCAAAAACTGCTCCGATAAAGTGTGCTGGGACTGCTGGACATTAGACTTGTTCCCTATCTTCAGGGACGCTTCTCTGATCCCATACGGGGGATCAGTAATGATAACATCGAACAAAGGGCCCTCGCGGAGGAGCGGTTTTGAGAAGTCTGCGGAGTGAGATCCCAAGTAGAGGGTGTCTAGCCCGTATGATATCATGTTTCCTGAAAAGAGACGTGGTCAGAGCAGCAGCACTTTTTGAACAAACGTGACAATTGAATTGACACGTTAGTGAGAGACTTAGTTGTACATGTGGTGGAATATAATGAAGAAAAGTCTGTTTCACTAACGAAGACATTAATAAAATCTAATATTTTACCTTCAATATTTTGATTTTCCGCGTATTTCTCTTCACCTCTTTTTGTTGATTTGCCTGAAAGAGATACGTTGTAAATAACTTTTGCTTTCTTAGAGTGCAGTTATTTTCGTTTATCTCCTATTGCCCAAATAGAATTAGGATTCTGAGCTGCTTTAAATATTCAATTTTTCTTCAAGTATTCTTACCCCAACCGTTGAGGGCCTTAATATCAATGTCAGCTCCAAGAGTATAAGCTCCGTGCACAGCCGCTGGGATTATTAGACTTCCAGTTCCGAGAAAGGGGTCGTAAACCAGGTCGCCTCTTTCTATCTACTGAACGGAAGTAACTGTAAATAATTTTAAAATTATCAAGTTATTACAATAGAGATTTTTATATAATATAAGGTTAATCACGCGAAATTATCCGAAATCTCTGCATAATGCATAATTGCCAGAGAAGTGTAGGAACCCTTACCATAGCAAGATTGGCCATAACGAACGAGAGTTGCGCGTCCATAGTAGTTCTACCAATATAGAGACGTTTCTTTACTGAGAACTTGTCAATTACTGACCGGTTACTGCGCCCCACCTGAAAATATTACAGTTAATCTATAGGACAGTCAACCAATAACCATCTGACCGGTTACTGCGCCCCACCTGAAAATATTACAGTAAATCTATAGGACAGTCAACCAATAACCATCTGAACAGTGGACATTTAACAGTTGAAGTCGATGAAGCGTCCCTGAGGAAATCACGTAGCATATCAGATAGTACTGAGTAAGGAACTTCTTGCTGACTAACTGTAACGATAATCCAATTAGCATGTATCCAATGCTGGGACACGCCTTTTACAAACGTGGACTTGTGGAGTCGACCGTTCTTGGGTCTTGACTTACAGCAACTAGTTGCTAACTTTTATACAGTTATAGCAGTATGTTGCATTGTGTTGGTTCAACTTTTGATTTTTGCCCGATTTTTCAGCTACTAATTGTTTTAGAATTTTGCTTCTAGCTTTCTAGCATCCTTAATTCCAGAATCTTTATTTGAAAAATATCTCTCAGCAAGCGATATGACACGAACACTTCTAATACTGGCAAGTATTCTGAGCACGTGCAGCGCGCTACACTGCTTCACATGTCACCAGATCCAGCAACGAGGTTACACTGCCAAACACCTCCTCGGCATCAACCACCTTATCGTGCAGACGGTCAAGGAGTCAGGATATACGGAGTGCGACAAGATTGAAGCGCTGCGCGAGTGTGACAGCACGTGCAGAGTAATGGAGTGGGGGAGGAAGACCGGGAAAAGACACCTAGCGGTACAACTGTTCATGTGCGCTGATAAGGATAAAGCAGCCATGTTTGAAAGATTTTCTCCATATAAGGAGATCATGAGTTGTGGTGATAAGGACGGGTGTAATGACCCTAAATCTGAATCACTCGTTTATTAACACTGAGGGAACATACTTGATACTACTACATTTAATTCCATGAGCTCAATTCCATATTGTAGTATTTCAAATATTCGATTAGTTTCGGATGTTCAAATCTAGAATTTTCTATCACCATTGTTGTATTTATTGTAATTTCAATTATCAAATAAATAAATTTTGTTCAAAAAGTGTAAACTATGAGATATTTTTTCTTAAATTAAAACTTAAAATTAAAACCTATAACTCACCAGAGGACCGAAGTAGACTTGAAACGGCTCTCCGGGCTTAGCTTTAGGTTTATAGTTCTCTATTATGTACAGCACGTGGTCAGGTTTCGTGCAGTTCACATCACCCCTGGTGAAATAGTGGTCACTGTTAGATAGTCAGTAAGACAGACAGGGTTAGCCTTGTCTTAGTGGTGATAACTGATATATAACAAAAACTAACACAAACCCAACAAATCATTATACGGAGAACTCCTTGAATTGAGCAATGAATGGGAATAAAACTCTATGATAATTTTACATAAAAATACTAATTGAAACTTATCTCTAGTCTTACAATTCAGTGCTTACGTTAGAGGAAGAAACTCTATCTCCTCAATTAAATCAATCTTCTCCTTCATAGCGACTTTCCTCCCAAAGGAATGAAGTAGGATGTTGAAAGCTCCTGGGAGGGGAACCACTTCTTCGAATTTGGAAGCGCATAACGCCTGGCGGGAATCACACTGCGCCCATATCTCCATAACAAACTGTACCATGACACACCTGTATAGGACCACGTTACAGACATTATCATCACGAAAATCATTGTTTAATCGTTCTCTATCGTCTATGACATAAATTAAAAGATATTTATCACGAACTTTTAACTTCTAACACATCAGAAATTCAACAAACCAACCTGTTGAGGATGGTGGGGATGTCTTGATCACGTGACACGGTTATAACCAGGAAAGGATGCTCGTTTGTGTAACCCTCGTGTGTTATTTCAATTCCGTGTATCTCACACACAGTCAACAGCTCCTAAAGAAAGATGCAAGGCTTTAGTCATTGCAGGATACGTTAGTGTTAGTAACACATTTTTTATGGATGAAGTTTTAATGTGATGGTTAATATTTTTCAATTTTGTGAAATTTTCCAATATTTTTACCATTCAATAATGAAAATGCCATCTTAAATGATTTTCAACAGACGATATTTACTCACTGGAAGTCTGAATTCTTCAAAAGCATGAGCGAAAACGACTAAATACTTCTTCTGCGCCCCCATTATGCTAGGAATGTAAGCAATGTCAATATCTCTAGAGTTATTTCAAAAATCTAACTTTTGAAAAGGTATGATGTCGAATAATTGAGATTCCTGTCTATTTTTGACAACGTTAAATTGGTCTCAAACCCCTAATTGTTACTTACATTGAGCGATAAAATGGTTGATAATATAAAGTTAAACTTAAATATTTAATTCATATAATACACAATGTTATATGAAATTATCGCACATAAAATATTCAAAAAACAGGATTACTAATCAATCAATTTATCTAGATCACAATCATATTATATATCAATCAAACTGATCGTCGAACATTATTTTATTTTTATTTTCCCCACGAAGTATTTGAAAACTAGCTAAGTCTAATGGAATGTCTATCTAAGAAGAATTTTCAAGGTTTTGAAACTTTATTTTAATAATTTACATTATCAACTAGTTTTGCTCAATTATTTAAGGTATGTACCAGTGACGTCACAGTTATAAACCTCCGCACAACTTTGTACAATATGCAACAGTATATAACGTTAAAATCTAGAAAAGGATGGCAATTATATGCCACTTTCATGCTCATAAAGAAAGTACCAGGACAATTTAAGAGTTTAATATAACAGGGGATAGAAATAAAGGGATTAGAAGTTACAACATACAATTTATACACTGAAAGGGCCATGTCAGCAACAATTCCACGGATTATAATACACACAAAGGTTCCACATTCCAGTCAGATCTGCACTTTAAGTCGCAACTATTCACTTCTTTCTTCTCGTCACAGTAGACTCCACATTTTGTACCCCCATTATCTGAGCAGACTCCATTTCAGGGACTCCTTCGCTGATTGGAACACCTGTAATGGAGAAACTATTGCAGTTTTATCTACAGCGCTAGGTTTCAAAATCATGCGCAACATCGATCAAATTGGGGGCAAAATTTGCAGTCATAGCACATATAAAAATGGAGAATTCAGAGCATAGCAGTACTACATAGAAATAAAAGCAGCGCACGCTGGACCAGATTAAGCTACAGTAAAATCCAAGAGAAGTATTTATCATTAGATCCAGAAAAAAGAATTCTCCTTCATCAAATCATATTATAATTATCGATTATCCAATCGAAACAGAACATCAAGATCAGCACAAACATGCTCATATCAAGAGAGGAAGATGCAATAAGATAATATCACACACATGACACATAGTTATTCAGCACATGTAAGTTTACCTTAAAATACTAATATAACAACTAGCATTAGAACTAGGACTGGCTTAGCCAGTTAAAACTTTTCAGGATGTCATACGAGACCTGAAAATGGTTTTAATCAGAGTTTCTTCGCGGGAATCTGGGAACAGTGTAATCGAGCGGGAGAGACAGCAAAAAACAAAACAGCAACTTCTGGGTCAGCTTATGTCAGTTTAGGTGGACTGAAAGTTCAACCAGCTTACTCTCAGCCAATAAACTGCTGGTAAATTTGTCGATCCAACTTACTCATGGGACTAAGTATTATATCGGAGTTGATCAAACAACGTAATGTGAATTACAAACAAACAGACGCGCACACCAACATACCTGAGTAACAGTCTGTTCGCTGAGAGGAATGTCTTCTGACTTCACATGGACTCGGTTCACTATGTTGTTAGCATCGCATTCTAAGAGGATACCTCGGTCTACGATCTCGTCACATATCAATAAAATACTGAGGGAAGACAACTTTTACTTACAGGATTTGAACAATTCTTTCTCTAATTTCAAATAAAATATTATAGCCATAAACAGTTTCTATACAAAATTCTGTCAAATATCTCGGAGCCCTATTTACGGACCTGTCCATGTGATCGAAGAGAGCCCTCTTTTCCACGTTTTTCCTCAGAATCATACTGATACTCTCATAGAGAGCGTTAAGAACTGAGAGTAGCATCAGCTCATTCTCTCTACTGTCACCAAACACGTAGAAAAACAAATCTACATTCGACCTGAGTTTTAGTTTATCAGTTAACTAACTTATTATGTAAACATCAGATTTTAAATATTGAATTAGAGTTTTTCTAAAAATGATTGTAGTTTAAAATTTCCTAAACAATAAACTGTCATTCCCATTGTTATATAAAAAATGACTTTATACTAATGGTTGGTACCTGAAGACGACAGTGTAGTTATTAATTGCAACAATCTCCGAGGATGACTTTTCTGTGGCTTTGAACACTTTTCCCTCGAACACCTTCTGATCCTGACAGAATTACATGTGTTAAGAGGTCATTTTCGCAGTCTACTAAAAACGATAGCTCAGGGCAGGGCTGTGGTAAAATGGCTAAGGTAACCGAAATTGAGACAAAGTAAACGGTGTTGGCAGCAAGACTCCCAAATTCAAACCTTAACAGTGGAGAATGTCTCGTCTTTGGTGTCGTAGTATTTAGAAACAACTCGTTTACCGTCATTATCCAATATGCAGATTCCCTTTATCGTTTGCAAACTCGGAGGAAACGCCATTTCGCTGTAACCAGAAAAATTTATTAAACAGCTGGTAGAATTTAGAAAAGTCCACCCGCTATCTAAACTCCAGTTTCAAAAGCCATAATCTAAAGGTTTGTATTATTCAAGAAGGAACCAGAAGGAAGATAATGAACAGAGTGGCACGTGTTTTCACAGAGTCTTAACGCGATTCATCATTCCGCTCCTTGCTCAATTAAAGACGCCACATGGCTCAGGACAATTGCTAAGGTCCGTGGTCGTGAGTCACAATTTTTCTGGGTCTGGTCTTGAGTGCCTGACACTCCAGCCGCTAACAACTAGCTCAATTTCATTTAAATAGCTATTGCGGTGCTGTGTTTTTCTCTCCCTCGATTGTTTCGCTTGCCTTTATTTTGTATTAGAGATCAATAAGAGATTGGCTAAAAAGATAGCAAATTCAAATAACAATATTAATGACAAATTAACAACATATCTGACAACGCAAAGATTCGTTTTGTACATGATCAAAATGCTAAAATATATGGCAGCTATAAAAGCAAAAACTCATATTTATCAATCCACCAAAAAAAATAATAAGTTACCAACAAAATCATATTCGAAAAAGGTTTAAGGCGAAGAAAAAGGTGATTCAAAAACAACTAGCCATGTTGAGAAGGGTTAAGTAGCAGTTAAAAGTGAGTGGGGAAGAAAGTCTATCAAAATTTCGACTTTTACTCTATAAGAATTGTTTCAGTTTGTAAAATTAAGATTCAACACTAAACCGTTGGTCATGGATGTGCTTAGAAGGTTAAGAATACCGAATGTAACCAACCCGACATTTCTGAGCGTAGCGTTTACTGGGAGGAAGCGTAATTGAAGAGAGTTGCAAAGTTAACCACAAATGTAAACACAGATCTAGAGGCAGCGACAAAATGTCCGCGTCAGCCCAGATCCCCTCCAACGACAGATCAGAATGTTTGGTATAAAGCACCTTCATGGCTTTGTCATTCTCACAAACGGAGCCCCCGAACTGAGTGAGAGCCTGATTAATCTCGTTTGAGAGGGACGATGTGATGTTGAGATCTCCGCCCATCATCCACAGTCTGATGCCTCTGAAGGCAGTGGTCGTACCGCGGGGCAGGATTATAAACCTATAGCTCACGTGCCGTGTGCTCGCGTCCAGTAGCTCGTGCGCCACGTACGATTCTATGTGATACGGCACCTCTTTACTCGTTGTTTTAATGCTGTGTTTCCAGATAATAGCCCAGTCGACCTTGTCTCCGTTGTACACAACACGCCCCAAACTGTTTCGGCACCGGTGACAGTTGAGACTGGCTGTTACACGTGCTGTTCCCGCGTGCTCCACGTCCCGGGTACTGTCGATGTAAACGTGGGACGAGTCCACCACGTCCCAGGCTACCCATACCTCCTGCTCCCCCACTAGACAGTCACCTGGGGATTAGGGTTGTAAGTTCGTTACTGAAATGGAAGACGAGACACTCGGATAGGTTACAGGGGGTTGTGATATCCACCTTGTAAAGTATTTCAAGTATCCTGGAAGTGGACTAATGGTATAGATAAAGGCCACAGGCCGCCAAAACCCGGGGACTTTAAACTAATCCGTTTTTAAAGTATCCAAAAGGTTGGAGCTATAAGTCGCGTCTTTCATAGAAAATATGTTTGATGTAAAGGTTTCTAACCTGGTCTAGGATAGCAGCCGTTCATCATTGTCTTGTGGGTCCCATGACAGAGTAGAGTATCAGTAACCTCGTGCCATGCTGCCGAGGGAAGCGGCAGGGTTCTCGTGAACTTTCTGAAACACGTCATTGTTAGCTCAACAGTCGACAACTTTTGGTGCTAGAGGGTCAAATATTTGTGATGCTATTTACTGCTGCCTTTTCGGCAATTGGAATTGCTTCGGAATAGAGCGCTGAATTAGGTTATCACTTTCATTAGTCCTTTTTTAGTTCTTCGTTCATGCGCTACCAATTTTCAGGAAACTTTAGTCTATAGATTTAATCTAGGAAGATTCGAAGGAGCTGCTAAGAAGGTTGGATTGGTTATCATATTCAAGGCTCGCAGTCACGTGATTAAGTCACGTGTAAATAAACAGTTGCTGTAGACTGAACGAGACATTCGTGACGAGGATAATGTGTTTTCGTGGAGCTATGTGACGTCAGAGGTGCTGATTGGGATTGGATTAACCCTAGAGTTTCTAGACAGAATAGTGATGGTAAACGAGAGAATTAAATGAAATCAATGAGTACGAGGAAATATGGAGGCCAGGAAATATGGTCATAAATGCACTATTTCTACTGTATTCATGTGTAGTAACTAAACAATCTGAATGTTGAGTTGAATTTTAGATCTGAGCCGGACTTTATTTCCTGCTGATTATTTCACATATATATGTGAAAGTATCAGCATGCTTGTTTTTCATGTAGCTTTCGGGACTTTCTGAGCCGGACAAATAACTGTGCCTCTTGTTGTTTTATTGATAATTCATAACTCTGAATATGAACACTGTTCGTCCGTTTATGGTCACAATGTTCATGTTTCGCCTTCGTGGGAGACTTATCAACTAATGATGTTTCAAATATCATAATTAGATTCAACGCTTAAATATACACATTCTTGCATATTTCCAGTTCCCGACGTTGATAATTTACGTTTATATTCGACAGTTTATCACATCTCATCGAGAAATGTGCAGCACGATATTGTATTATTACAAATATGTCCTGACGCCTAACACATTACATTTTTCGTAATTTGTCGTAAACTTAACCGTAAAATTGTCAGGTAAAGAATGGCTTCCGTATCTCCCATGGTCTCAGGATCCCCCCAGAACTCCCTGGCACCCACAGACACAGTTGTTACACACCACACCAACACATCAGACTACCTGGGCCACACTTTCCACGGTGTGGTGGGCTCAGTGGAACTGTGGTTGGGAGCCCAGGCCCTTATCTTCAATATCCTGGTTATCATCTACTATCGGGCTATGTTTCAGAGGGTCATACCCATGATGTACCTGATGATAGCTGCCTGTGACACCATAACTGGAGTGGCAGCTCTATTGACTGGAACCCTGATTCTGTCTGTTAGAAACCACGTGGAACTAGCAACAGATCTGAGCTATGCAGCCTACTTCGTGTACTCTGTAACCATCCCAACATCCATCTTCCTGAACGTCAACCTAGCTGTGATACGGACAATAAACCTGCACAGACCACTATACCAGATCAGTAAGAGAGTGGTGAGCGGGGTTGTGGGTCTAGTTGCAGTGGGGTGGATCATCTTCACAGGGTGGCACCTGACCAGGTGGGACAGGCACCGGAACCTGCTCCGCTCCTACATCTACTCTCCGGGCCAGTTCCAAACAGCATACCACCAAGGTACCACCAGACAAATGGAATGTACCAACACTGTGCTCTTTGTAACGGTACCCTACCTCCTACCTTCTGCTGTTGTGCTGGTTTGTATGGCTGTGCAGCTGCAATTGAATTATAAAATCTTGCAACACGTGATCAATGTCCCGACATGGAGACGGAAAGAAAGCGGAGACATGGAACAACACAAGGACAGCCAAAACTCGGAGAGATGGAGACAACAGAGGCACGTCACCATAACCATCCTGTGTCTCACTCTGCTGTTCTTTGTGTGCAACACAGTGTTCCTTTACCTGCCGCTATCCTACTGTCTCAACCTGGATGTAGTGATAATGGAGCTAGAGGAGAGGAGACGTAAAGACAGGTTAAGACACATTACTGGGGTGGTGTTCCCTTTCATTAACGCTGCTTTTAGTCCGGTTATATTGGTCATCAGAGGTGGGATACTTGACTGGGCATGTAGCAGGAGGAAGCAAGAGGAGGAACAGGTCAAGAAGTTAGATACGGTGCTGAGCAACAACACAACCCTCGACAATATTGTTTCTACCAACTGCTGAGCTCGGCTTAACACCGTAATGAACTCTGGGAACAATGAGCCATTGTTTTGATGGGATGTAAATTGTAAAACCGACCGTAGGTTAACAAAATAATGGTTAGACGACGAATGACGATGAATTAAATGGTCTTAGAGCGAATATGATAGGTTATGTTAGTACGAACTTAGTTGTTATGAACAACTTATAAACAACTTATAAACAATTTATGAACAACTCACTTGCATGATAGTTTAGCGGCACACCGTTGACAGTATATTTTCTCAATGTTCACTTCCTCAGTTTTCTTCGGAGCAGGCAACTTTAACATGGGATCTGAAAATAACTATTTTTTTAAATAAGTATTTTTATAATTAAGTATCTGTTTAATTAAGTATCGGACAGGACTTTCAGTGAAAAGGTCTATTTCGTAATATTAAGCATATGAAAAAAGAATAGTCAGGGGCAGACGTAAAATTATAATGAATATAAAATATTTAGTCACGTGATTGAGCAGCTTAACTGTTAATATTTGCGGGAATTGTGTGCTTACTAAAACGGCAAAGCCCGGCTTACCTGTGGATATTCTAACGTTGATGACTGAATCGTTCATTACAGGAGGGGCAACCTCTTGGCACTTTATTCTGGTGTCCTCCAACAGATCAATGTCACGATCAGCTACCTTAATTGAATTCTATAGAAATTTATTAGCAGATAGATAATTTTAGTTTCACTCATCTTGTATTTTCTGTAGTTGCTTCGTTTAAATTTAATTTACGCGTTTTTATTGCTAAGAATTTGCAACTCATTGGAAGAAAACATACAGAGTTTTTAAGCTCTTCGGCAATTCTATGTCAATTATGAATATATCCCCTGCCTCAAGGATGATTTCTCGCTATTTAAAAAAACTAAAAGAGCGCTACGAAGCGAACCTTAAAACCCTACATGCATCAAAAAAAGAAAAATATTATGTTTTCTTACTCGAAGACATTTGCTGGATATTTCAACCGCGTACTGGTTTTCAATGTTGGGTTTTAGCGACAATTCTATCGTTCCAATCTTTGCTTTCTGCTCGGTATAGTAGAGCGGGTGGAGAGTCCCGAGCGTTAACATGACTAGAGATAGATAAATCATTAATTCAACATTTCTGTTAAAATATAGTTGAATCTTGAGAAAGTAGAAATTGGAATTTTCATAATGATTTACATTTTAGTTTCAAATTTGAGCCAAGTATTCATTGACATCACAATTATTCTGATGTATAATTTTGTGAATTACTTCTGTTAGAGGAAGCCGTTATCCGGCCACTGTAACGACTTACTTGACCATTGCTTAGGTTTCAGACTTTATATCATTCGAAATTTTGATTTAATCTCCCAGGACCCATACAATCACCGGATTATCAATTTGTTCTCCATTCAGAATCATAGATAGAAGAATAAATTGCAAGATCAAGGAAGACATTAGGAAATTCAATTTACTAAAGAGTTTTAAATTACGAAATTTCTTAAGCATATTGCATTGACCCAAACACAAGCAGATTTACCTCTTCAGTTAGAAGTTCGCAGTAAAATAAGTGTTTAAACACATAATCTAAAAAATACTTATAGCCACAAAATGTTCAAATGTAATTAACATCCACATATTAATCGGCTTTCGTATCTTCCTTAACGTCAATAACCTTCTCTTCTCCCATTGCTTTCAGAATAGTAACAATAATCATTTTTCCCTCATCCGTCATAGTCTTTAGTCTTTCTCCGAGATCTCCTTCTGGACAACGGATGTCTTCAACAAGTTCGCCGGTCTCTTCGTCGAAAAGAGACAGAAAACCAGATTCGTCCATGTATGAAAGGGGGTATTCTTTTCGGATGACGTAAGGAGCATCGACATTAGCGTGACCAGGTGATACAGCCTCGATCTTCTTTCCTGTGAAGATGTCAATACCGGTGAATGCGCACTTAGCCGAACCGTGCTTTCCGGGTTTCGAAGTGTTGATGTTTTCGATCTTGCATGCTCGACCTTTCATCAGCATGTATCCACCTTTCTTGATAGAAGATGCTTGAGTTGGGTAAAATTTGGATGCACCAGAATCAGCCTCGTTAACTTCGAACTCGTCAGACATGATGGGTTGTGTGGCTACTAGAAGTGTTTTGGTTATTAGTGTACTGATCAATAGTGTGATATAAGGACAGATATTGAGGATTTCGTTATGGTTGATTTTTCATTCTGATGAGCCACAAGTTGGGCAGGAACCGAGAGTGCCCTTTTTCCCACGGTTTGTCGAATATTGTCGTTCCCTGTCATTCCCTGTCATTCCCTACTCATATTGTCACATCTTGTCGTAAAATTGTCATGACATTGGGCACTCTCGGTTCCTGCCCCAAGTTAAGCATTAAATATGAAAATTAACTGAAATGATGGTATTTGTTGCACGAAATGTTATAGGGAAAGTAAAATTTTATGGTAGTCATCATGAAATGTAAAATGGGAGAAGTATTATATTTACCAGGTATACGTAACTAAAACAAATCTGGGAAATTCATCAATTATTATCCAAAACAATACATTAAATGCCACAGATCATAAATACTAAAAACAAAACATCTAAAATACCTTCCCTAAAAAGCAAGGATATATTCGTCGAAAATAAAACATTAACGAGGGTAAAAAGGCGGTCACTTGCATCATCACCTGAACAAATAATGAATTTTAACAACATATTCTACATTACGACCAAGCCTCAACAGTCCCATCCCAACCCTCGTCATCTGAATACTCATCTTGTTCGTCCCGAGTAGATCGCTCACTGTTTTCTTGTTGAGGATTTTCTGATTTCCAAGCGGTTTCCCTCCTCCGAGATAACCCAGGTGGTGGCGGTGGGAGTCCCGGAGGAAGATCCTGAGAGCTGCTGAAACCAGGTGGGACGCTTTTCGAGGAGTCATCTTCGAAACCAGGTGGTCCTGGAGCTGTTTTCATGAACGAATTTACTGGACCTGGGATCATAATGGAGTGTCATAAATAAGTGTTTGATTTGTCTATGTATAAAATTCATTTCAAACATTTGGAAATTCGGGCTGGAGAGAGGGTGAAAATGGGTCATGATCCCCCCCCCCCCCCCCCCATGGCAGCTACTAAACCTGTAGTAACGAAGGAGGGTGTGGAGTTATAGTCATCAGGCATCTTGTCATAGTATTCCTCCTCCTCCTCATCTAACATATCTGCGTCCATCTGATACACTATCTCCGACTCCAGCACCTCTAAATAGACCGGATATTGTTGATCTGAAGTTGCATCACAATGAGGTAAAAGTGAAGATCACTGACGGGTCTATAGCTCAATTACTTGAGAATTGATATAATAGAGGAAAACAAGATGCGTACGTGGCACGGAAGGCAAGATAAGATAAGATAAGATAAAATAAGATAAGATAAGAGTGGTTACCTAGTCCAAGATAGGTTTGTGAGATGACGTAGAAAGTGTAGATGTGACTGCCCGGTGTTTCAGGGGTGTAGAAAGAGAGGGGGACTGACAAGGTGTTGCCTCTAAAGGGTCCGCATCTCTTCATAGCTATCAGCTCTCCTGAATATTCAGATAGTCATTGAACTATTCGAGATAAGGCAGGATAAGATAAGAGTGGTTTATCTGATAAAGTCTTGTTTTAAGAAACCGGATAACTGGTTTAACTGAGCCAAATTTCAGTCGGTAATTTAAATTTTAATTAAAAAGGGCACAAACCTGACTCTATTTCTCCCATGAGTACCCACCAAGTCTCATCGACAGGTTTGTTAAACCTCGGAGCGTGGGCCTTCCTGCCGGACTTGCCGGATTTGTTCTGAGAGTATTTGCCGGATCTTGGCAGGTTCAGTTTAACCTCAATACTGTACTCCTTGTCTGCGTGGACAGGGACCCATTTCGCACCTGTAAGTTTTTTGCCAGTTATTTTTAGCGAACTGGTGGATAACACATGTTTTTTTTTCTTCGTGGACCTAGAGTTTGGAGAACTAAAATAAAATCGTAAAATTGTATATACCTTACGAGACATATTTATATATGGTACGAAATTTGGGGATTTTTGGAAAAAATCCCCATATTTTCGTACTACCAAAATTGTGGCCGCCATTTCAAAATCCCACACATTAATTTTTATGTAATTAGCTTAAATAGGGCTAATTTGAGGTGGATTTGTCAAATAAGTTGTTTTACGTGTTTTGTGAGACAAGGATACGCATTTCTCAGGTAAATAGAAAGTTACTTAGTATAAAAATTACTGAATAGAAAATACTGGTTTTTCAGTGTTACGTGAAAAACGTCTCGCATATAATTTTATATAGACTTCTATAACAACGACTAGTTTCACACTAGAAAAACATTAAGTACAAAATAGAATAAGGAAGACATGCAATTTTCACCCTTATGGAATAACTTGAACAGCTAAAAATTGTTGTTAAACAAATGGATCCTGTCGAGGATTCAAAACCACGCCGATCGCCGATACCCTCTGGAGGGTTAGAAGTCAAACTTAATCTCACATTCAAGAGTAGGGGAGACTTAATTGACAAGCTCAAACTCCTGTTGAGGGAGGCATACACCTGGGACTACACCGGTGAGCAGACTCAAGGTGAAAGAGACGACGATGAAGACGATTTAAACGAAGAGAATGATTTTTAATTAATTTAGTTTTTCACGATTTAAAAAAATTCCATCAAAAACTGATTTTGATTTCTCTGAAATAATTTAGCGTGAAAATGCGACAATTTAATTTGGGGTACGAAATTTGGGGATTTCTGAAAAAAATCCCCATATTTTCGTTCCCCCATAATTCCGATCCCCAGAATTATGATCATCCACATAAATATGTCTTGTAAGGTATGTAACGTATGTGAAATATGGTTTTTTAAATTGCTAAATACATTAGATAAGCAGTTTAAAAATGCAGCTTTACCTCCAGGGGCTTCTTTTGGTATGAAGTTCTTGTCTAGAATCTTAGAGCCGGTAATACTGTGGGTAACACGAAGTAATGGCATGTGAACCATCGCCTGATGAGTTGGACATATTGTTAAGTTTGTCACATATTTGTCCCATAAGTAGGAAAAATGAGAGTCAGAAATTAAAATTAAAAACACTTAAATAAAAGCAGCTTGATTATACCTTGTGAATCTGGTTCAATTCCCGCTCATTGAAGTCCGACTCCAGGTTTTTACGGAGGAGATCCTGTCTATTGGAGTAAGCTAACAGGATCTCAGGGAAGGAAACAGATCCTGATAACGACCTGAAGAGTTGCTGCTAAGACGGAGCTAGAAGATGTCACATTCGTTCAGAGGAAATTAGATATGTAAACCAAAAACAAAAATTCTCGGGTAAAATAACAGCGAAGCAGCTACTTGGGGCTACTTAAATACTTGTTCAACTTAATCATCTAAATTCCAAACCAACAGATCATATTTAACATTCTTTGAACGGAAGAATCACATCTGATAAATCTGACGAAGAATGAAACTAACTGTAGCTGATAAAAGAGATGCAGCTGATGGGGTTCCACGTGGGGTAATTGTAAAAGTGGGTCGTCTTTCATCCAGCACCCTTGAATTACCATTTTGACAATGTGCATTATGCTCAAAGATGTCTTCAACCAACCGCTATCTGCTGCTACGTCCAACATTGCCTGTTATTAAGGTGACATTATGCAAAAACAGAAAGCGGAAAAGATAAGTCCAAGAAAGCATGTAATGTTACACTGGCAAATAATTGGAGAATGATTGTTTTGAAAGCTACTTGAAAAAGACATTACCTGCAGAATCCTGATTGCTTGGTCATGAACACTCTTAAGATCGGTGATATAATCCGTCATGGGCATGGCAGTACGGGTGAAGTGAGCCTGCAACAGCAGATGTACTTTAGTGTGGGGACTGTCATACGAGAAACTGGGCACTCTGATGGGAAGAGAGGTGGCCATTTCCTCGTTAATCTTATCTTCATTGTGTCGGACAGGCATCTCATCGTACTCAGTCACATCACACAACAGTTGAAGGGTCTCATTCACACTGGTAGCTGGGTTCAGGGTGTCCGCAAACATTTTCACAGTTTTGTGACTGAGATAGTAGTAGGAGGCGATGTATCCTAAGATTTGAGGCAGGAGAGTTGATCCGTCCACATCCACCGCTACACAGTAGGCCTGTTCTAGTTCGTTGATCTTACCGGACACAATACTTGAGAGGAAGGTGTTGATATTCGCGTCCTCCAGGTCCTCTAGATGGTAATAAGCTGGGTTTTTCAGGAGCCGTCTAAAGAAATAGGTCCACGTTAGGTAATCCATTGCGTCTTGTTTTGATTTGACAGTTCCAGCTACGATCTCCGCATTGAAATGCTCCGTTAACACGCCCAGAAGGTTCGACTCGACCGGGAATGGTTCGTACAGGAACTTCTTGTAGAAGTGCTTCTTGATATCATGGACGTAGATGCAAGCAATACCCTGATCATCGAACTGGGGTCGACCAGCCCGTCCCATCATCTGTAAAACATCTGTAATGGGGAAGTCTACGTATCGGTTAGATTTACCATCGTAAAACTCTGTTCCCTTGATGATAACAAGATGAGCCGGCAGGTTGACACCCCAAGCTAAGGTTGCAGTGGCAACAAGAATCTGTATCTTCCTCTCAGTGAACAGATGCTCCACTATTCTCCTGTCTTTCTCATGTAGACCTGCGTGATGTAAACCTATTCCGAACTGGAGCGTGTGTTTAAGATTTGAGTCTGCCACACCCTCTATAAGAGCCTGGAGTTCAATGTCAGATATGTCGTGTATCCACTGTTTGGGATCCTGTGCAGCAGCATGAGAGATCAAGTCGTACGCTGTTAGTCGGGTCTGACGACGGGACGCCACGAAGATAAGAACGGGTTTTTCGGGACTGTGTTGCTTGATGTCGTTGTAGGCAGGTTTGTTCATAGTAGCCATGCGAGGACAGTAGTGTTGACCCGGGAACCCTGTTATGTGAACCTCCAGAGGTACAGGGCGAACTGAGGGTTTGAAGTTGAACATGCCCACATTACTGATATTCAGCCAACTTCCCACATCGCCAGCGTTAGCTAGCGCAGTGCTGAGCCCCACAACTCTGACTTGTTGTTCGGTGTGCGAGGAGATGAAGTTGGTTCTGCTAACGATTACCTCCAACACTGGTCCTCTGTCGTTACCCAGCAAGTGGATCTCGTCTATCACGATAAGGCGGACTTTCTGGACGTACTTTCGGTTCTGCCAGGATCTGGATATACCGTCCCACTTTTCAGGGGTGGTGACGATGACGTCAGCCGCCACAACCGCTTTCATATCGGGCACCACATCCCCAGTTAACTCAACCAGCTTCTTACCTAGATTCTTACCAATCTTCACACTCCAATCCTTCATCCTCTCTTTAACCAGCGCTTTGAGGGGGGCAATGTACACACACTTATCACCAGGGAAGTTGATGAAGACCCTGAACATGGCCAGCTCCGCTGCTACAGTTTTACCAGATCCGGTCGGGGCTCCCACCAGGATATTGTGATCTGTGTGGAACAAAGAGTGGAATATCTGAGTTTGAACTGGGTTGAAATGACTGAAACTGAAGTAGTCCTTGTACTCTGGGTAAGGGATGATGGAGGTGGGGATGGGTTGCAAGTCAAGGAGTTGCGTGTGAGGGAGGTGGTCTTGAGGGAGGATCACTCCTTTTACGGAGATACACTCCATTCCTTCAGCTCCGATCCAGTTGTCTGATATCATCCTCACGATGTAAGACATGTTGTCCTTGTCAATGAGCGGGATGGAGAAGTTGAGTTTCTGAGGCGAGTTCTCCACTACGTGTTTCTTCTGGAGGGAGAAGTATTCGCTGTGGTACATGTGGTCGTTGTTAGTGTCCTCGACCCAAACCCACCAGGGTTCAGACATCTTACCGTGCCACTTGTCATTCCAGTGGAACTGAGGCGTGATCGTCAACTCAATCTTTAGAACAGTCGCGGTGACTGGCTGCACGACAGCATCTAATGCAACAGCAGGGAAATGGTTGACACACGCTTTGATCTTGTCACCCATTGCCACGTGCTGCAACATGTGGCCGATCTCCCGAGCTGGCATCTCCTTGAGCTTGTGCATGTCAAGGCTGAGACGTTCTATCCTGTCAAGAACGTGGGACGGGAGAATGTTGAACTGTCGGAGAGGTGTGTCGCCTTCCCAAATCCGGTGGTTCAGCATCTTGCTCAGATTGAGAAGTTTGGAGGCTACGGAGGGGTATCCGTTGTGTACTGCTATATCAAACATTGCCCTGATAATCCTCTTTCCGTTCTGAAATAAAATGAAATTTTATCACTTGGTTAGTTATACTTATTAACTTGTTAAAGATTCAAAACATGGTAGACATTTAAAGAAATATAGTTCCATAAATAATCCATGTTACTATACTAGTCTAACTAGCCTATGTTACCTGAGCAACGTAAAGAGAGTCAGAGAGAAGAGAATAACTCTCGATGTGGAGCTGGGATATGTAAGCTTGGAGCAAGATGTTGACTTTACCGTAAACATTCTCCGTGCCCCCTTTAACCTCGAACCTTTGTGAGTGGTGAAGCTCACCCAACTCAACACTCTCCTCTTCTTGTACCTGTAAAGTGAGTACGTGTAAAGTACGTGTAAAGTACGTGTAAAGTACGTGAGATGCTGTGTTTTACAGGAGTTGTGTTTTACTGTGAGCGAATAGAGTTGTAGCAACGGGTAAGAGTTGAAATAGACTGATAAACAGACGTAAAAATAGACAATATAGATGGATTTCTGCAAAATAGATGAAATGGATACATAATCAACACAACAATGAAAATATCCAAACTCTTTTCGAACTGTATCTAATCTAATAAAAACAAGAACTTCGCCGAGGTTATACCACGTAAGTTCAATTTCCCTACAATGTATTAATCGAACCTTCAATTGAGCAAACTCGTCAGCCTGACTGATACATCCCAAAATCTCAGCTTCAAGTAGGTTTGGTTTGAAAGTAGAGTTGAAATGCTCAATGGTCGGGTGTTTGATGTAGAAGTGACTTGCTGTCCTTCCCAAATCCGTAGCTGCCAGCAGTTCGGTTTGGGGGTTGAATCTGATCATTCGGCACTTGTCCAGCACCAGTGCAGATTTCTTTATCAGGTCGGTCAAGTACTGAGGTTGGGGATTACGTCACAACATCATTCAAACTTCAAAACGATTAAATCATGGGATAAGCTCATTTTTTGCATGCATCACTCTGGCAGAACAATTAAATACGTTTGAACAGAGTTTAAAGTACCCAATACATCTTGGCTAATTTCCAAAAATGCTCGATATGAAAAGTATATCCCCATAAACAAAAGCAAGCTTACATGGTGCAGGTCAGGATCCCGCTCCCTCATTTTCTGATTAATACCATACAGGAGAGGATTTTTCTGCATTCTAACCCATAAGTAGGTATATTTCATCCACTGTATTGCTTCTTCCACGGAGCCCACAGTACCTGGACAGATATACTACAATGAGTTTATCCAAATCTTTGATGCTCAGAAGAGAAATCAACCAAATTAGAAAGTGCTTGATTGAAAAATATCGCACTGCGAACCGTCTACTAACCTAAGCAAATTTCAGCGTTGAGGTTATCCTCCAAGCTCTTGATAAACTGTGACTCAATAGGATGCTGCTGAGTGAGCAACATGAGATACTTGTGCAGTTTATCTTGCGGTGTAATAATGATCCCGTGACCGGAGGAATCAAACTGAGGTCGACCTGCTCGACCAAAGATCTGGAGCACATCTAGGATTCCAATGTCGACAAATTCTCCCTTGCCCGCATTGTAATATTCAGTTCCTGAGATACACAGGAATTTAAAAACGATAATCCTGATCTTATGTTATACATGTAGCTCACTTTTCATAATAAAGTAGAATCAATCACACGCATTGCTGAATTCAGCTGTAATAATAGTACTTTTATTCGATCCACGCTGAAAGCACATATAGGTTGATATACCTCAAAATAACTGACCCTTAATAACGACGGTATGAGCGGGAAGGTTAACACCCCAGGCTAGAGTAGCCGTACAACACATGACTCTCACCAGACCCTCACTGAACAGGGCCTCAACAACGTTCCGGTCCGAACGGGGCAGTCCGGCGTGATGCACTGTAAAACCATCCCGGTACAGGTAGTTCAGCTTCTTCTGGGAGGATCGCGCTAACTGCTTCAGACCGCTGGAGGGGTGAATTTTGGTAATTTTTGAGATTATATTACTGAAAATAATTTATAAGAAATCTAAACAGATAACGTCAGAGCTTTGTTAGTTAAGGAGCAATTCTAGCCTTTAAAAACTTACTATTGATATTTAGGATGTTCTGCAGGACTAAATAATTCCAGTTCTCCCTCCGTTTGAGCAAGTTCTCGCATTTTCTCAGCCGTCTTGAGTGTCCCATTTCTACTGTGAACAAATACTAATACCTGAACGATGTGAGCGTTAACAACTAAATACCAAAATTCCATGAGTACAAGAATATTCTCATAAGATAATACAAATTTGTCCAACAAAAGACCCAAATGATCTGCAATGACTTAAAAATGATCTAATTATAGAAGTAACTGACCTGGTTGCCTTGTTTCACACTCTCAAGAACCTTCTCATAACAAGCTTGATCGATATTTTCTCGAGTTTTAAACTTGTTAGTACCTCGTACTCCGATAAATGTCTGTTTCAAAGGTACCGGTCTGAACCGTGAGTCAAAGTAGAACAGTCCTTTGTGTAGATTGACCTGAAGGGAATAGTTAAACAGTTAGACTTGTGGTTCAGTTGAATGGACAAAGTTCAACTTTCACCCATTGAATGGATACCATCAGCTTTGCTTAACAAATCTAAGGAATGATCTGCAGCTTTGCCCAACAGCTAGAGAGCAGAAAAAAGAATGTGCAATGTAATGTGACACCCAATTTAAAATGCAGACATTTACAGCGGCGAGTAATGACTTGAATTTCCGGCACGTCGAGATGGAAATTCAGAAATTTTGTGTACTACACTTACACTCAGATATTCAGAGTATTCAGCCTATGTCACGCACACACAGTGCTGCAGAAATATTGCAAGGATTCAAAGGATATGTAGTACACATGCACTATAGTGTTTAACATATGTAACGCATATTTATCTGCAGAAATATTGCAAACCTTTAAAAAGTTAGCCACGTCAATGTAGTTGGGTAGAGTTGCAGATAGACCAACAATCCTGATCATTTGTTGGGTTGTCTCGACCTGTCTCAACGTCCGGGCTATCAGGGTCTCTATCACTGAACCTCTGTCCTCGTGAAGCAAGTGCACCTCATCTGGGGAGAAACAGATCAGCTTATTATACGAATGTTTAACAATACAATTCCAACAAGTTAAACAACAGTGAAAATAATTTCCAAACAGCGAGCTTAATCGCCTGGAAACAAATCTCACCGATGATGAGAAGTCGGACGAGCTGGGACAGTGCGGTGTCTCCCGTGCTCTTCCTGGTGACAACATCCCACTTCTCCGGTGTAACTATCAGCATCTGGGTCTGGGCTATCTCTTGTTTAGTCAGCTGCATGTCACCCGTCAACTCACGCACTTGGATCCCAAGTCCTTGGAGTTTTTTACCGAAGGTCTTGGTCATCTCAGCTGCAAGGGCTTTCATGGGCGTTATGTACACTACCTGCGAAAATAAGGCTTATTCCGGGCCCAACATTGCGCTCAACTAATGTATGGCTCAACTAATGTAAGGCTTTATGTTAAGGCAATTTGCGGAGTTCGTAGTTTGAGATTGGGTGATTAGATCATAGATGGTCACACGAAATAACTATTAACTTCGATTGTACCATATTTATTATAAGATAAGGGAACACCAGTTTAAGTAATAAGCATAGCAAGATAAATGAGTGGTGTCACCTTAAACTTGTTGCGCTGTACCACTCCATTCTCCATGAAGTTCTTAATAAGCTTCAGGACTGTAAGTAAAGCAACATTGGTTTTACCGGCACCAGTTGGTGCGCTTATCAGCAAATTCTCGTTGGTATTGTACGCGGTATCGAACACCACACTCTGAATTCTGTTCAACTGAAATAGTCAGCCTGTCATAGTGGGTGTAATATGATGAGATAAAATTCAAAGTGTCGAATAAAATGTTTCTTGGTTACACAAATCTTACACGCCCGATTCGAATGTTCTAACAGAATTCAATCTTATACGCTCGTGGAAAAAATATTCGGGCAACAATAGTAGTGACATGACGCGCTCCGTTTACAAGAATCCAATTTGGCGGTTGCGCGCGCCGTATGAAAAGCCACCGTACCTTCTTAATACCTTTAAAAGCAATTCTTCCTACATCATCCAACTCCGATATGTCCACAAGCTTATCTGTCCACTCAGGTGGCACATGTTTGGTGGCAGGAAATGTATACTCCTCGTAGCCAGGCTTTGAGTCGTTCACAACATCAACAGGAAGGGTAATCTTAGCGCCAAGGATGTACGCAGCTGTTTGTTTTACGGTAACGCGGGTGTCGAATACATAGGGTAGTTCAGGATGTTCGGACAGTCGAGGCTGTAAGGCGGGCATCATGTTTGCCGTCATCAGTGCATATTCTCTGAAATGTACAGTTCTAGAATATTCTCATTTATAACTGAATTCAGTTAGCGCGTTTGCATAGTTACATAAAAAAGCGTACGTGCTAAGCTGTTAATAACAAGCATCAATCTTGGGATTTGTTCTTCTTTTAGTTATTACCGCTGTTCGCGAAGCAGTTCCGGATCAAATGCTCGCTGTTGGGCGATTGCTTCTTTCTTCATTTTCTTCTCCTCCTTACGAACCTGCTTCATCCAAATCTTCTCACGTTCCGTCAAAATGTTTACCTGGACAAGGTTCATTAAGTTCATTAAATTTGACAAAACTACATGATAATTTCACCCCTAACAATAAATCAATGTTTTGCTAGCAAACGAACAACTGACAGAACATAGGTAACGTTACAAATGAGTCCAGTGGTTGCTGACTGCTCATACAGATATGCGAACCATAAATCACATACGCAAGGAAATTATCAGAACTTAAATGTCGGAGTTCCTTTGTCGATGGGAGCGAATATATGGGAGCGAATATATGGAAACTCGTATGTGGCTTCATAAGATATCTATATCTATAGATAATGTGAATATTATTTAACATTGATTTGATTGCATAATGCATATATTAGTATATTACATTATTACAGTTACACAGGAATTTTCTACACAGCATTTAATTGAATTAGGCGTCAAGGTTTCCAGGCGACAATCACGTAATTTCTGGGTGTAAAAAATGTCATGATGTTTTGAGTAATGTTTATCAGTAACTTTATACCCGGAGATAAGTTAACATGACAGAAGTGCGAGTGTAGGTAATTAAGTAATTAGTGTTACTCATTAATTTTACATTATCCCAGTTTAGGGGGAAGTCTATAATGTTGATGTAAGTTCTACGGAATACATCTGATATCACTTTTGATTTGATTGACTGACGGGAGACTACTTGAACTAGTATAGAGTATTAACTATAGTTAAACGATATAGTTACATTCCAGTCATCACTACATTGGGTGATTCTGTACAGATATGAGATTATCATTATTAGAATTCGCTTTCGCTCTCCCCTATCTCAATTACCAGGAGCATATTGACCGACAAACTTATATTATTACCATATATGCATATGTATAAAGCAGCTATTAAGAATGTTCCTGACATAATTCCACACAATTCCGTAGAATCTGAGCAGTGAGCAGAGAATTAATAAATACTAGGCCGATTAGATTTGTACCAGAGTTGCTGTCAAATCAAGTAGTTTAAATTGATAAACAGTGAATATAATGTTTAAGTATATATATAGTTATATTTTAACTGGGAACGAGAATGAACAGGGCAGTTTAGGAGGCAGTCTTGGCACAATTCAATAAGCTCGACAGAGGTCTGTAGAATTCTACCAAGACGTATAACGTTGAAATTCCACTCTAACCTAAGCCTTAGAGTGGAATTGCCAACCAATTCTGATCTACATACCCACGTAGTTGTGCCGGGCTTCCTGGATAGTGCCGAGATCTTAATGTTAAAGAGAGCCGGAGGGGAGGGGAGGGAGTGCCGAGATCTTAATGTTAAAGAGAGCCGGAGGGGAGGGGAGGGAGTGCCGAGATCTTTATGTTAAAGAGAGCCGGAGGAGGGGAGGGAGTGCCGAGATCTTAATGTTAAAGAGAGCCGGAGGGGAGGGGAGGGGAGGGAGTTGGTGTGGAGAAGAGTTCAGGTGGTCACGTGACATTACTGCCATTTCCGATAATCAGTGTTTCTGTGTTTAACAATTCTGATTATCACGTGTAATGTTTGCTTGTATTTGTGATTGTCGTGGTCACATGTCAGGGGATAATTGGCACAGATGTTTTAAAGTACTAAAGCGCTAATTATGGTAATTAAGCTGACTATTTAGCTGATCGAGGCCTGGTTACTCAGCAGTTCTCCTAAAATTACCTGTTTTGATAAAGCTGGTCCACGATCTGTTTTGAAATGAGGTATTTTGGGTGCGTTCTCTGCTTCACCAGAGTAAATATCAAAGTTGGGCTCGTCAGTCAATAAATCAAATCCTGATGGTTCCTTGATAACTCTTCTGTGAGCTAGAATCTCTGCTATTAGGTCAAATGCTTCAAATCCCAACAGTCCAAACATCTGAAAATTAAAAAAATGTTATTATTGATGTAGTAAAGTAGGATTAGGGTCAATTTATTAGGGTCAAGGGTTAAGTTAGTTTTTAGTACAGTTTATATTATAGTAAAACGTAAACAAATGTGTTTCACCTCCCCACCAGTATCCACATCTATAAGATAGTTACATAACAACACAATTTTCATATTTCTCAGTTAGATGTGGATAGTTCACGAAAGAAAAAACATTATTTTCAAACCCACCATGTCCTGAAGCTGTTCATTAGAGTTCTGTGAACTGATGTGGTTATAAAGAGCAGATATTAACTCCTCTTGAGATAAGGCAGGAGGGTCCGGCTTCTTGTATAACTCACTACACGTTATCTGTGAACAGGGGGTGATACAGATAAATGTCTAGATTGAATGTCTACCTTACTCGGGAATATTATGACTGGGATAAAGTGGTGGGTTTTGGAAAATTCCGCCATATTTTTCCCGGTCATTAATTTTCCCAGTCATAAATTAACCCGCTAAAATGTTCCCGAGTAAGGTAAACTAATAGTAATACACTTTGATGCTTGGTGGGTTTTGGAAAATTCCGCCATATTTTTCCCGGTCATTAATTTCCCCAGTCATAAATAAACCCGCGACAATATTCCCGAGTAAGGTAGATAAAATGCCAAGATCAAATGGACAGCAGCTTTTTGATATATTTGATGACTGAACAAAATAACCATAAACAAAACAAGTCAAACATCATTGAGAAACAACTATAAAACAAACAAAAACCAGTAATGGAACTCACAGTGAGCCAACCAGGAGAATCAGGAGTAAGTTGTCTCCTGACAACTGCGCCGTTTCTAGAACCACTCTGTTTAGACGTTATCTGTTTGGTAACGTTAGCAGTAGCCTCCAGCACTCCCGCTCCTCCTCCCACTTCTTCCTCATCCTCACTCTCACCATCTGATGTAGGATGGGAAAACTTCACCACTTCCGGAGAGTTGAACTTGATTCTGAGGACGAGAGGGGATGTTTAAGTTAAACAGCTGACAGGTTTTTCTTAAGGAAGCAAAATTATTATTTGTTCCCAGATTCTTGAACTGTCCTGCAAGTAAATCTCGTTTCATTTACAAGTGTTCGTCAGAATCTTGTTAAGCAATAAAATTATCTTACTTTGCTCCGAAGAGAGTGGGAGGAATATTGTCTCCATTCTGATGATCGACAGTAAAATACTCTGGCAGGGCTTCACTTAATGTCGTGTAACTTGAGTGTACCTAGAACGGTGTTAACTCGTTTAAATACCTTAATACCTGTTTCATTTGATTTGCTGAATTATAACGAACCGGGTTCCATATATTTTTATAATTTGGATAGGTTCCAAATCGTGATGACCACAAGAGTACTATTACTTAAGCTACCCAAATTTAAGCTTACTTTTTTAAGGATATCCTCGTCCACGTGACCAAACTTGTCTTTTATTTTGAAGACTTCTCGCCAGGTGAACTCCTCAAATCCTAAAAACAGTGTGAACATTTCTTCTAATGTTGTTTTCAGGTGATCAGTACTGCAACTCTCACCAACCTGAAAGGGAATGTTTTATTGGAATGTTGTATTAATATATAGATTGGAATGTTGTTCAAAGATAAATACAAGATTAAAGACAATAAGGGATATGGCATGTTTTAAGGTTATGCCGTCCAAAATGGGATTCTAAGTTTTTACTAAAGGAATAGGACGAACCAAAAGAGACATGTTGTGAAGTAGTTCCTTGCCACATGTCTGTAATTCTCGTTCTCCTGATGACTTGACGTGGTCTGACAGACGGGCCCAATTGAATCTGCTTTCTTTCTTCTTACTCTGTAATATATTAAAATTTAACAATCAGTGAACAAAAACATTGGGAAGCAATTCCCACTTTCAATCGACTGATTTAGTTGATAAGCCAGCAATAAATTCAGAAGAGCTTTAAAATAAAAAACGTGCAGCAATTGTAGAAATATAAGCTGTGGACTAAACCTGCGGGGACTCACGAAATTATTATCACGTCTTTCTAGCTCCAGGAACTTGGCTTGTCTCACGTTGTAGTCTAAATCTGTCTCCAATTCTGCAGCAATACCCCCTAGTGCTCGGAGAGAGCCTGTGAATCTGCCGACATCCCAGCATCGCAGATATGTTTCACCCAAACTCATGTTACCATCTCTCAGTGTACTCTACCTTTTAGTGGTTTAAAATTTAGAGTTTCACGATTTCAAGATGCTACATCCAAGAGAAAGAAATTGATAGTTTTCGTAACCGAAAGATGTTTTAAAATAATGATGAATTCAACCACGAGAATAAAACTCTTTATTACAATGTGATAATAAAAATAAAGTATTGAAGTACAGATATATTTTGACGTAATATAATATCAGAAGTATCTCATATCATACGAACAAATAAGAATGAAATTGTAACGTGATTTAGTATTACATATATTATTATCATTTAAATGAAATCATATTACAAAGAATATTGTTTACTATAATTGAATTTGATTGTAAACACTAAACAAGTTGTTGTAGTAGAACCAGGCAGACTAAATTTCTTGTCCGTCTGTTGAAAGTAATCTTCTCGTGTTATTAAATGATAACTCTGTTATTTAATTTATATTAGTATTGTACATATATTTTAACTTTAAAGATTTCAGTTGCAATATGCTCGCAAAAAAGTTAAAATTTGATCAATTTTCAAAATCGACAGGCTTTAATCTGATGAAAACAGAGTGGATTGTTAAAATTCCAAACGATTGACAAATACTCCACTGACCACAGGAACTGAAATAACCGCTTTTATTGTCCAGTCAGCGCTTGATATTTCTAAATGGGACTAAGGTTTATACAAGGTTGTGATAAGGTGGATTCAACTGAAAAAAGAAATGGCTCAATTATTGGACAAGGCGATGCGTTCTGCCTCTACCCTGCAATCCCTTGCTAATGTTCTGGCTAGAGCAATACCTTTCTTCAAACGCTCTGCTGCCATTCTGTTCCCTGCATATGTGGGTTTAATGTCCTTGGTCAGCTCCTCAATGACTGCCAGGAGCTCAGCGTATCGCTGTTCTGACACACCACCCCGTGATTTTACTGAGTTCGATTTGGCAGCTTGCTGTTGGGCTGCTTGTGCTGCCGCAACGCCTTGCTGTAATATCTGCTGGTTTGCGAGAAGGATGTTGGAAGTGAGGTTAGCTGTGTTAGCTCCGGCACTTGCGAGCAAAGATTTTAGTTTCTCCAGGTCAGCGACATTTGCTTTGGCTATGTTTTGGATAACTGGAGTAGATGTGCTACTCTCGGCCATGTCTGTACTGAAGGATGAGAAGTGAGCATTTAAGGAGCATGAAATTTGATAAAGACGAATACAGATTTGTCATATAATTACTCATGAATATACAGAAAGCCTACTAGAGGAACGAAAATACAAAGCTTGAGAGAAAATGAGAACAACTGAAAAAAATTACAGATATGTATTACACAAGCAATTGAAAACATAATTTTCAAAGACATTTCCAATATGTTTGTCAATTAATAATCCGATTTAAAGTGAAAAATACAAAGTTTAAAAAATAAAAACATCTAAAAGTTGCATTTATAATGTTAATTTAGTTGTATTGAGAGCCCGATGAACAATAAGAAATATAAAATAAACATCATCCTTTAAACATATTTTGGTACAATTGTTTTTCCTTGGAATCCTGTTCCCTGCTCTGAACTTGAAGGTTTTGATTCGCTTGACGGTACAAGTTACTACTGGGATTGATTTGCAACAGCTTCTTAATTGCAATTTTGCTATCGTCAATCAGGCCTAGGTTTGTAGCACATGTATGAAATCTATACAGAGATTTCTCATCACTGTCATTAAAGTCTAAAGCCTTCCGACTATAATCAAGCCCTTTACTCCAATTTTCCTCAATAATAAAGATCATGGCGAGGTTCTTGTTGCAATCAGCCTCTAAAGATTCAACTTCAGTCTTGAAATTAGCTGATGATGAATATTTCAACCCATCATTCACAGAATCATTAAAGAAGGACATGGAACGACCCACAGTGTCTCGTGAAGAAATCGCTCGGGTCTGTAAAAGGGCACAATGATATCTCTTTTTGGCTTTATTATATTCTTTAGATTTAAAAAACTGATTTCCGGCTTGTTTATAATTTAGGGCTCGCTCATGAAGAACTTCAACACTCTCATATTTCGATTTCGAGTCCATACCTAAAAACAGAGAAAATTTACATTGCAGAATAGACATTGCAAAATAGACTAATTAGTAACAACAACTTGAACTTGTTAACCCCCTTCCCCCCTAAGCACTAAATAAAATGCAGATAAGATGCAGATGAGCAGTAAGCTGGAACCACCCTAACCCTTAACTGCTCTTGTCGATTGCATGGACACGAACATACAATTAAATCGTAATAATTTTTTTCAACTGTCAACAAGGAAGCTTGCGAATTTTATTACATTAATTGATTGTACTGATTAAAATAAATGATAAAATTTGAAAATTGTTTTATTTAAAAATTAGTTAATTACTTAATTTCTTCACCAAGGAATGCAACAGATAGTAAGACAAACTAGTTTGGTAGGTCCTCAAATAGCGGCTACAGGTAAAAACGAGCCTTAGTTTCACTATATTTGCTCATTACTCAGGGGATTATCATCGATTTTAATGAAGTATTAATATAAGGGTGACTAAAGGAGACAAATGTCAAGTAGAACAATACGATTGATCGTGAACACGTGTTGCTTATTTACACCAAAAACAAATTTAGGATTGAAATAATTTGGCACCTCCTCAACAGTTTGGCCTAAAGCTCTTATTCGTTGTTCAACTGATATCTCAAAGCCGTGTCTCAAGATGACCCACTATCGTGACTCAATTGTCGGTCCTCTACTTTGATTGGTTTACTAACAATGGCATTTAAGATTCGTTCCTGTTACACGTCGTTTGTATCAGACGAAATGTCTCTTTCCTTAAAATTTGCTTCAAAATGTAATAGATGTGCGATCAGGCACTTTGGGGGGATAAGAGGCAAAGGCTGACGGATACTAGTAAGATGAGAATGTAAGCCACAAACCTGTGAACGACGAGTGAAAGACACTATAACATGATTGAATGTGTGACATCCGAAATTTCGTCAAGGAAAGAGATAAGATTTACAATGATATTTACAATAATGCCTCTCTGGGCATCTCCTACAAAGAGTTCTTCATAACTGATCTATTACGTTTTAGAGTCTAACAAATAGAGAATACAAAAGAGGCTGACTGAAAGCTTCTAAGCTTGTAAACTTCTAACCTATACAGCTGCGATTCGAAACTAAGCGGGATGATAAGGGTGGCAACTTGAACGTGAAAACTCCCAATTGAGACTGATTGAAAGACGTCTACTAGCTGCATAACACATTTCAACCGTTTGTCCTTTAGAGTGTCCATCTAATCAAGATGTAAAAAATTCAAAGATTAGTGATTGACGACTTCAAAATTTTGAATTAACCAGATAGTCAGAAATTAATAAATGAAATTGAGTTTTTTCAATAAAGTAAGTGAGCTGGTTAGTGGGTTATAAACCTACGATTTGCATAATATTCGTGATTTCTGCCATGACACACACACACACACACAATTTGCTGTGATTGATTAAAATAAAAATTTACTGTTTTCTTGAATTTTTTGGCTTCTTAATAAATAAAATGAAGTTTCATAAGTTCGACTAACGATACCTTCAGCTTTTAATTTCAACATATTTTGTATTTGTTTGACGGATGTTACTCGTCCGAATTTCTTCGAAGTAGAGCGCGCCACTTTATTTTTGCAACATTAGCAATTAGCTCTATATTTGTTTTAATACAATTACATTGCATGTACATGTCACATAATTGGGTAGTTGAATGAAACGTGTGCTACAAATGTTTGATTGACGGTGTCAACCCATCGAGATCGTTGCTCTGCGAAGCAGAGTAACGATCGACGATGCGAAGCAAGAATGCTAGTTTGCGCGGCGCGTCGAAGTCCTCCAATACATATCTCTTCGCAGAATACTGCGTACTGCTCAGTACTTTATGCTCGAGTGGTACCGATGTTCACAGAGGCGCGCGCGCGCTCGATCCAATCACGTGGCTTTTGGAATCTTTTCATTATTGGAATTGCAGTTAAGTGTTCACGGCCTGTACTGCGCGAATTAATTTACGATTTCAATTCATGGCAGCTCGGCGCGGCACAGTATCGCATCGCGCTACAATGCGCGAACGACAGAAATTTCCCTAAAAATTATTCTGCTTCTGAAATTTTGGCTCTAGTAATTAATAAATGTAACATGTAATTGTAAATTAACAATTGAATAGATCCTGCGCGCGGCGCTTACAGCTGCACCTTGTAGCGCGATGCACTACTGGGTCGCGCGTGCATCAAATAATGCTTCTATCAACCACTTCGGTAGATCGGCGAGATGCACCAATGTGCCTCACCGAGCTGCGAAGGATTGACATCGTGAATCAAGGAGTGCTGGTCAGTAGTGGGTTAAGTTATAAGCAATACACTTTTATCCAGCTTGCTAGTTCATTGCTTGCTACTCCAATCACTTATGCGAGAAGCTCGAAAACAGCGCCGCGCATTGGGATTGATTTTTAGCGCGATTTGTAGCGCGATGCGTTACTGGGCCGCGCCGCGCACTCAATTATGCTTCTCGCAACCACGCTAGATCAGCGAAATGCGCTACTGGGCCTTGCCGAGCTGCGATGAATTGACATCGTAAATTAAGGATTGATGTGCCAGGTAAAATAAATCAACAATGTACAAAATAGTTTTAAAAATTTGAGGCACATTTGTAATAATTTTTGCAATTTTTTTCAAAAATTTTTAACGATCATAGACTGTGTATTTTTAAACAAATTTGTTTAATATAATTTGTAATTCCACATGTAATTGATACATGTTTCGTATCCAAATATCAGAGATATAATGGATACACCATGAAGGAACACCTCCGCGCGGCGTAAGTAAATTTACAAGTTCGCGCGAAAAATTGTCTTATTTTCCTGGCGCTTTGTTCTCGCGCCGGGAGTGAATCACTAATTAGCTAACTACTTCACTAACATAATCTACAATGCGAAGTAAGAGTTACCACGTTACTCTTTTATTTCTCCGTTAAGCCTACAATTCTAATAACTAACAATGGAGTATGAGGTCAATTAAATGTCCATAGATATGGATTATAGAAATTATATAAACACATAATTGAACAGCATGAGACAAGTGGAAAACTAACAAACGAATAGATTTCAAGCTCGTAAAGGATCGTTGCTGGATATTGGAGATTTCAAAACTGTAGTCCGACAGTCAAAGTTCTCTTGTCTAACTTTAGTGCGTATCGAACTTGACTCCAGATAGAGCACTTTAGTTCGACAGAGTCGAACCTCAGGGTTTGTCGAACTACATGGTATAAGTGACGAACTAGAGTGCGTGTCGAACTTGGGTACGTGTACCGATAGTGTGGTTGGTTTTATCCGATTTTTAAAGATTTTTATGGAGGTTGTACCATTGTAAAACTTACATTGTGACAGTATAGATGGCGAAATATTTTTGAAAATGGTCCTAACACAGCTTTGATACTAACAATAACATTGGGTGAATAGATTGGGTGAACAAACTATGAAGCAGGCAATTATATGTGCTCATCCATCATTCTGCATATGTAAGCTCAGTAGTTTAATTGCTGATTCATACTCAATGGTGAATCGATAGAATTCATGTGTCGGAGATCTCGTGAGAACACCTTTTAATAATTATAGCCCTCAGGATCGCATTATCCTGATCCGGCCGTAATGTGTATTGAGGTATGCACTAATTGTAGTGGTGAACGGTTGCAGCTCAGGCTATGTTTCAGTATAACTATATATCAGAGATCGCAGTATATTTACATTCTACTCGGATTGCAGATTGAAATATTTTCCTGTTGGAACCATGACACATGCAGGGGAATACCAAAATATTAATTGTAGTTGTACAACTAATATGATCAATAATTAATAACGGCAACGCTAATTTGTCCTTATTGGACTTTATTTTTACGGACATAAGTTAATAGTTGCTGCAAATGCCAAATGCTACAACTACAAGTTAATCCCTAGCGTTCATTTTAATGTCCGTTCATTTTAATTTTAATATCCGTTCGAATATTGGCGGACGTTTTAAATTGTAATTAAATAGACCATTGAGCGGTCGCGTTTATTTTAATGTCCGCTCAAAATTATTCCCGTTCACATTATTTCCGGTTGCAGTACGGGTAAAATAACGTCCGA